ACACTGTGCACCCGTTTCCCTTTCAAAAGACCAGATCATTTAGGTTGCATTATATCATGAGATCTTTCAACAACAAATTAATTGTAATAAGCTATTAATCAATTACTCAATCATATAAAAAAATTGGAATGAGCTCAATAATTTCCAATCTGATTGATATATTTTAAAGGCAGTTTTGTTTAGAGACTTCATAATTGATTTTATTTATGATTTCAGTTGTGTGTGGTTTTTATTTTCTTGTTATTTACTGTTTTTGATTTTTGCATTTTATTTTGGATATTAAAAATGTCTTCCAGTTAAAATGTGGGGTGTTTTGTACAAAATTTGCTTATTAGTCTCTGATAGGCTGAATTTTGTCATCATGTTAGTTGAAAATGGCCTCAAAATGACAATATTATTGTTTATCACAATCATTTGTGGAGCAATCTATCATCCAGCAAAATCTGTTATAGAGACAAGCTTAGCTGCAGTAATAAAGTCAACACTTATTTGAGTTAATTAATTGATTTTTATAAAGGGAAAATCAGCTAAAGATCTATCAAAAAGGGTGACCATTGCTAAATTTGTAAAACATTTCTTCTCAAGATGAGAATTTTGATTTACAGTGGTTGCCATAAATTTCAATTAAACTTTAAGAAAAGACTTACTGAAATGTTATTTTTAATATTTTCTCCACTGTTTTTTCCACAAGTGCGTCATTAAATATGGGTAAATTCCAAAATTTGATTAAATGAAGTCTATGAGCAATTTAGTGGTATAAATCACACTTCTTTAAGTAAGTGGCATGTTGAAAAGAAGCCTGCTTCAATAGGAAAATGTTTAAAGAGCAAACATTTACCTAAAAAAGAAGTAATAGTTGCATTTAAAATCATCATTTTTATCATTATCACAGTACTACTACAAAATGTCATGATAAAACTGTAACATATTTTCCTGGAAAATATAAAATTTTACAGCATAAACAATGCTGAAATTAACTATGTGTTAATACATAGCATTCGAAAAATGCTATAGAACAAATACGACTTAAAAGAAATTTTACTTCCTAATTGAATACCTTGAAATTGGCCCTCTGTCTTTAGAGAAACTCTTGCCTTTTCTGAAACTCCGCCTTCAATAAGTCATCACAACATGGCTCCTCTATTAACTCTTTAACAATGTTTTTACCAGCGTTTCTCTTAGAAGTAGCTACTTTAATGAGCTCAGCAGACAGCAGTTCCACCAGGTATTTTCCACAGCACAGTGTGGTAAAAGGATTTCACCAACATGTATAAGAGAATCAAGGTAACACTCCAGATGTCTTGTTCATGAGGGAATATATAACACTCAAAGGCAAACGGCACTAATGGAGCTGTCCTGCCTCTTTAAGTCCATATCGCCCTCCCCTATTTGGAATTGTATCTTGGAATCTGGAACGTTACGCTTTGCTTGCTGCTTATCTGAACTCAGATTAACGGGATGGCAAATAAAGTGTACATTGCCTCTGTGAACAGGATTTCAGCAGAGTCCTGTTCAGAGGGGCTAGCAGTGAGCAGTGTTGTCTTCAAGGCATCTTATTCATTGCCCAAGGAAAAAGCTCACTAGCCAGTCTGGCTGCTTCATAGGGCAGATATCTCAGTGTGCCTACGGGTGTGTCTATGCGTTTGGGTGTGTTTATGTTTTATCCTCAGGACCCCCAATTGTTGTTCATTTCCTGCACAAAATAAGCACATAAAGCACATTAAGGCCAAAATGTGCTCTTCCTCTGGCCTTCACCCTCATCACACCACTTTTCCGCCCAAGTGGCTAACCAAAGATAATTACACAATTAAAACAATTTTCCCCATCTATCTGTCAGCGTGATCTAATTCCCCCCAGCAGCCACATTCGAATGACGCTGATGGAGTTTCTCCATTCCTTCCCAAGCAAATTCTTTTCTCCCATATTTGATCACAAAATGCACTAAAGCACAGAGAGGCGCAATGGTTTGTTTGTTTATGGAGTTGTTGGGGAATTAAAGATAGGAGTTTATTAAAAGGCGTATTACAGTGGGAAACTGCAAGGTTAAATTTGATTGTTGGTTCAAATTAAATGTCAGCTGCGGGGAAAAAAGAAGTGACGACCCTCAAATTTTCACCCATCTTTTTTACCCATTTCTGACAAAAATGCAGCCTTATACTGGCTGACTGGGGCCAAAAGTGTTTAAATTGTCAAGAAAAGTTGCTAAAAAAAGCCAATTCTGTCCAGTTGCTGATCAGATAAAAGGCGTTTGCGTTAGACAAACCAACACAGGGCGTGAGGAGAAAAGGGAGGATTTAAACAGACCTTGACCTGGATATCCTGCACCTCTGTCCCCCATGTGTAGACAAGGAACACAGATTTAGAACCACTCCCACACAAGTTCAAGGGAAATGCTTACGTCTCTCACTCTTTTGTCTCGACAAAAACGACAGCACAAGAGGGTTTTTATGATTATGAGCCGACTTGAGGAGTGGAAACGCATATCCATTAGATATGAGTCTGCCTGTGGAATGGGGTTTTGGTATTCAACCACAACCCAGTGCCCCATCAGCAGAGAGAGAGAGAGAGAGAGAGAGAGAGAGAGAGAGAGAGAGAGAGAGAGAGAGAGAGGAGAAAGCTCCTGCCTTTTACAGCCAGCGGATCTCGGAGTCAGGCCGTTCGCCACAGAGCCCACAAATGAGGCGTTAAGTGTAGTAGCAGTGCACCAGAGCAGAGGGAGCGCAGAGTGGTGACCCTTTTCTCATCTGTGCTTGAGTCAGCTTCCCTTCCCTCCTATCACAAATGCTGGCACTCCTACAGAGGCCAGAATGTACCACAACAAGCTGCACCAGCTAACTACTGTCTCCACTGGAACAGCTGCTGAATGGAGCGGTGTTTCAGAGAGGAGAGCTGTTGAAAGATGACTCCTGCTTTCCACATAAGAATTTATGATGTTAAATTCAAAAATACTTTATTGAAAGTATTTGTTGCAACTCATATCAATTCAATGGTTGTACGAGTTCACCCTGTATTTGGCAAGTTGCTGGTTCGATCCTTCCTCTCTTGTCGTGTCCTTGGGCAAGAGTGCATGTGTGAATGGGTGAATGACTGTGTGTGTACATATATATAAAATTTTTTAAATTTATTTATAAGTGACGTGTGGTGAACTTTGCACCTCACTGCATGTCATAATGAGATATACAAATGTTGATAACCTGCATGTTATTATTTACATAAGAAAATTTGGAGCATGCGGACAACACTGAAAGGAAAAAAGACTATTCTTTTACATGTCATCCATAGCCGCACTGCTGCAATAGAATAATTCCGTTAACTCAATGAAACTTGGAAATGCATGTATTATTAAGTTTGTACTATGAGTAGAACTATCAGTCTGTTGCAGAAGTATAGTTTAAGGCTTAATGCTTATTTTGCAATTGCTAATAAGTGATTGCTGTGATACGAGGAGAAAACTATAAATATATTGCTGCACTTGACTGTATCTTATTCTGCAGTTGTGGAGTCACAATGTCTGGATCATGAGCGCCCCCTGCTATGAAGCAAAAAACTGCTTGCCACACCTCGAATCTGTTCTCTGCCATTTATGATCGCTTCTCCACACACCAAACACATTACACACACAGTTGGTGACAAAAACCACTGTACGTTATATACATAAGTAAAATTATGAAAAATCAGTTTATATATTAAATGTTTTTTAACCATTTTATTGGCGATGTACAGACTGGAGGAGCTGCTGTCATAGAATGACAGCCAGTGCAGTTAGCCAGAGGTTGTGCAATCCAAGGTGAGGCTCAGCTCGCTGCTGCCTCACCAGCTGCACTTCTGAGCATTTGAATGGAAAAATGCAAAAATTTTGCGATTTTGAAGAAAACAATCAAAATTGGTTAAGATACAAAAAAATAAATACTTTACAACAGGTGAAAATAGCAATATAAATTATTTTATCATTATATTTTTCCATTATGACTAACACCCCTGACTGGTGTACATGTGCTCACATTATAGACTTTATGCAAAGAGTTCATCACAGAAGCAAATTTTTAAATTCCTTTCCAAATAACATCTCATGAACACCGAACTGACATGAGTTATGGACAGGATGCTTTGGAGTGTCTGGTTCAGAGGCACATTCCTAACCATTGGTTGAAATGGTGCATTTAATTCCAGGAAAGTTAGAGGATTAAAAGCACAGAATAGAGAAAACTATAGACTTTTCAATGTTGTTAATCCATGCTGTCGCAGATTCGATTCCCAGCCTGGTGACCTTTGCTGCATGTCTTCCCCCTTCTCTCATTACCCACTTTCCTGTCCATTCACTATCAAATAAAGGCCACTAGAGCCAATAAAACCTTTTAAAAAATAAGGCAACATGTACTAAAGTTTCTGTCATCGAAGACTCAGACTCCGTGGTGTGTAAATGAATTGTTCATTCCCAGTCAAAGAGGATTGGAGGTCTGACTAGAGCAACACAGAAAGAGAACACAACCTGACAGAGATTTGAAAACGGAGTGATGCCAGAGGCCTGCTGGGACGGTTTCATCACCGCACTTGACCCCCCTGCTACTGGGCATGGCAGAAAATGGAGGTGTGACTCAGTGGAGATATACTCCTCTTCACAGTCAGAGATTTAATTGCACACAGATTCCATTACCTCTGCACAAATGTCACATTCTCTTCTGATCAGGGGGTACAGAAGCCACTGGCAGCAAGCAGTCAGACTTTAGAGCATTAGAGCAGAAAGGGTTCAGCCAATCAGGGCTCTCCGTGCAAACAGAGGTAAGCAGAGGAAAAAGCTTTGGTAATGTATCACCAATATATGTATAAGAGATAAAGAAGATTCAAAGTCTCAAAACAGCTGATGGGCAATGCCTTCTACAAATGTACTAATAATAATATCTTACATTTCTTAGTCTGGCATAACAATAGCTGATCAAGCCAGACAGTGATAAACTGCTGTACATAACCAGAGAAAGCTTAGTGGGTGAAGTGACACATACATTACTTGAGTTGAGTAGATTGGTGCTCCATTACTCCAATCATTGTTCAGCTCTCAGTCTTCAGGGGCGGGGCCACAGAGGTTTGACAGAGGACACAGTCACCGAGAGAGAGCTAGTGAGAGAGAAAGAGAAGGAACGGGAAAGATATAACAATTACAAACAGGAAGTGAAGGGTGGGGAAAGCCCCTACCCTGGTCCACTGAGCCCATATATATCAAAACTGTACAGAAGTAAACGTGATCTTAGTCACCCACAAGAGTTTAATATGTTATGACACACTGATTCCTTTGGAATCTCCTGGCCTACATGCATGTAAAGTTATCTTGTTTTTAATATTTAAGCAGGTAAAACATGTAGTCACCAGAGAAAAAACTAGTAGTGTGGCTTCTGTCAAAACTTTGTTAGAATATGTGAAAAATACCACCAAACAACTCTAAAGAGCTATTTTTATGTAAGTTTTGTGCATTCTAATAATATTAAAATCAGAAAGAAAAGATTTTGGGGTTCTGGACTCTTAATTAAGGGCTATAGTAAGAGTCTCTTTTGCAATTTATTCATTTAATATTAAACAGCCTATATTTTATGAATTCACAGATTGTTGTTCTTCTCTAGTTTTTTTTTTTTTTTGCGCAATAGTGGAGAATGTGATGAAAGTTGTGACATTTAAGCACAGAAATGGAAATACTTGAAATTTGAAAAATAAATTTATGAGAAAATACTTTTAAATAATAATCAGGATTTCCTGATTTTTCCCTTTCTCTCAGGAAAACACACAGAATGAATCATATTGAAAACATCACAACGTTCAGTTGGAGTTAAAAATAATTTTAAATTAAAGTTAACTCAAGTTAACTTTATTTCAGGACAGAGCTTCAAAATTAATCAATATTTTAGCATGGTAGAATACTTTCTAAATGAAAGATGATGAATAAACCCACCTTTATTTTAAGTACAGTTATTTACAGAGGTCATTAAACGTGCAGTCTTTCTAAGACTCCGCCTTCAGGAAATCAATTGAGAACATGGCTCCTCAATTAACGTTTTAATGAATGTCTCATTGAGAAGTAGTTTATATAATGAGCTCAACAGATGCACAGTTCCATCAGGTGTTTGCTAATTGCTGCTGGCTAGTATTGTTCCTAGCCAGTAGCAATAATAAGGAGAGGCTGCTGTGTGAGGAGGAAGCTCAGAAACTGAAGTTCTGAAAAGGAGCTTCATCCCAGAAAGTGAAGGGAGGTTTACTCAAGCGTTCAGCATAACTGAACGGTTGCCACAGGAGATTAATGGATTTCTCAAACCTTTAATCTCAAATTAAGGCAACACTCCAGGAATGTTTTTGATGAAGGAATGACATTAAAACATGATATAAAACTCAAAAAATTCAATTTTACATAATACTGTCCCTTTAAAATAAAAGGAAATCTTAAAACTGTATTTTTACAGTTTTAAGTTTCCAGTGCATGTATCTTAGTACAGTAGTCCCCAAACGTTTTATTATGGTGGACCAGTTACAACATGAACGAAAGCTCTACAACATGACCAAAATGGAAGAGGTATGTCCCAATGGGAGACGTAAGAAATTGCTGATTGGACTACAGCTCATCTTTACTTTTGAACTGGAAGTTACTCTGGCTTTAATGTTCATTAGAACGTTAAAGATACATGGCTTTGGTGAATGATGCAAGTCTGAATTTCACTGAAACTGAAATATGACCAAGTCTGCAGAAAGTCCTGAATCTTCTTTTAAACTTTGTCTTCAATTTTACTTACTTTTTATAGCAAATGCATGAAAACGTGTGGCAAAAAAATTGATCAAATTTTTTAGTGTTGGATTTTTTTCAACATTTTATTTTCAGGAAAAATTTAATTCATGATAACAACTAATGAAGCCCTGAGCTTGTTTCTCTGCAACAAGACGGTCCCATCTGGGAGTGATGAGAGACAATGACACCTGAAGTGTTGCTAATGCACAGGGTGGTCTTTATGTTGAGAAGCAGTTTGAAGGCATTTTTGCCTCATTAATTATTCGGTCACCATATCATGAAGACTGGGCTTGGAATGTGGGAATCACCTATCGGGATAAATCCATTCTCCTGTCTTTTCTGTCGGCCTTTTTCCCTTTGAAACTTTCCAAAGACATCTGATCTGTTTTTTTTACTCATTTTGCAGCTTGTGGGCTCAATGTTGGCGCGCAAGACATAACCGAGAGAATCCAGTTAAAGGATTTTCAAAATAAAAGATCCTCCAGACTAAAATAATACATGAAACGGAAATATTTAATTATTTCTTGCACGGCCCGGTACCAGTGGCGCAAAAAGTGGGTATGTACTGTATGCATCGCATAGGGGCTGCTGCTCCTGTTCTCACTAAAAGCAGGAAGATAGAGACATAACAGCAGTTTTAAAGTCCCTCCACTGGCTCCCTGTAGCTCAAAGAATAGATTTTAAAATACTGTTGTTAGTTTATAAATCACTGAACGGTTTAGCACCACAATACATTAAAGATCTGTTGTTGTATCAACCTTCCAGACTCTCAGGTTCTGGTTCTGGTTCTGCTCTGCATCCCCAGAACCAGAACCAAGAGAGGAGAAGCAGCTTTCAGCATCTATGCACCAAAATATGGAACAAACTTCCAGAAAACTGTAAAACAGCAGAAACCCTGACTTCCTTTAAATCTCAACTAAAAACACACCTGTTTAGAATTATATTTGAAATGTAATATGTAACAAGGTATTGTTGATTCCATGATGCATGACTTTGTGTTTTTGTGTTTATAATGTAAAGCACTTTGAAATGCCTTGTTCCCGAAATGTGCTATACAAATAAAATTTGATTGATTGATAGGGGCGCTGCACTAGAGGGCGCGCAAAATAAATGTGAAGAATTGTTTTTCTAGTCAGCATTTTATGTACTTAACCACTGTTTGAGTATGAAATGATCAACAGAGGAACAGCACTGATTAGGCAGCTCTCCCAGCCGCTAGCTCCTTCCCCTCCCATACAGGTAGCTTGGGCAACATCCATTCAAGAACGCACTGAGACGGGGGTTTTTTTTTTTCTTTTAGATTTAAATTGTAGTAATGAACTCGACAACAGGGAGAAAAAAAGCTCCGGGGCACAAAACAGAAAACAGAAGAAGGGGACGGAAAAAGATGTTGGAGAGACGAAGAAAAGCTTTTCAAAGTAGCTGAAAGACGGAAGGTAAGTTATGTCAGTGTTTCAACAAGAGAGTTGTAAATATTCAGGTTAGCTTAAGCTAGGCTAAAATAACAGGCAGTTGTTGTTGTCTCCGCCTGTATTGAACCGATACAGGACACGATTTATTCCGTATTGCTATAAATGCCTGATAGATAAACTATCACACACATCTCAACAATTAGTGTAATAATAATGACCAAAAGAAAACATGGAAAATATTAAAGTCAGCTAAATTGTAGTTGCAGAACCTAAATAAGACCCCCCCAACCCCCTCTAACTGACGCTGTTGCCTAGAGATGAACACTGCGCAGCCGCGGTGAGCTGCTGTCAACCCGCGTCTTTTTAAAATGTCCACCCAGTACCACACCGTCCTTAGAAGCAAAACGTCTGGCAAAAATACAGACAGCAGTGGGAAGACGCACATTCCAGGCCAAATAATCAGTTACTTTTAATAGGGGCATTAAAAAATGTGTCGGCTGTATTCATTGGCACGCAGTGAGATGTTTGATATCAACAGAATGGGTCAGGAGAGGAACACCGCAGACCCGTCAGAACCTAAAGAAGGATTCTCTTCATCCCTCAATCATCCAGAGACCGAAAAATAATAGAAATGGCAATTTAAAGAACAAATAGCTTCATAAATAAATTAATAAATATTGTGAAGAGAAACCGTTGATTTTTTCTACATTAAAAAGGTTTGCGTAAGAAAAACATTGATATCTTCTATAAATACAGTGTTTTGTGGTCAATATTATTTTACCATTTTATTTATGTGGGTGGCCAGTTTGGATAAGCCTTCCTATCAAGATATAAGAATGATAGAAAACATGCTAACAGAATGTCTCAGACCATAGGCAGGACACAGGCAAACAGAAGGGACTCATGTTCGCGTCCCACTTCAAAAATATGTAGTTGCGCCCCAATTGGTGGTCCGCGGCCCAGGGGCTGGGGACCACTGTCTTAGTGCACTTGAAAAAGGATAAAACTACTTTACAAGTAACTTTTGGAAAAATACAGGAGCTTATTTTTAGTCAGTAATTCTGTAATATTCATGAAAACATACTAGTTCTACTGGTGAATTATTTCACTTGTGAACTGGAAAAAATGGTTTGTTTTACTGAAATAATCTGACAGTGAAACAACTACTTACCCTAATGGGTTGGCAAACAAAATTATGACGATCTTTGGGAAACAGGCTTAACATATAGCCTCCACCCTAATAACAAACCCTATATTTTATTATGTGACATGGCTTCTCCCTACAGAAATGGGCAATGCACCTTGTCATGAAATGTTTAAGACAAACCAGACAAACAAGCTTGTGAGAAAGCTCAAAAGCAGTCATCTGAGGCCTGGTAAACAGGCGGAAAGATGTTAATGATGTTCTTATACAATTCACATCATGCAAAAGAGGAGAAGGAATGGATGTGTTCTGGTTTTGTCCTTGTCCCAGGACAAAAGTGCGTCTTGTTGCCCCTCTGAGATATGTGCATACAACTTTACCGTTTAATGTGGTTGTGTTTGGAACAGAGCAGCACGACAATTCAGCTCCCAGTTAATTGGGCTGTATAATAAAAAAAAGTGTCAAAAACCCAAATCCATAATGCCACTTCAAAGTTAGGCCAAGCAACTTGGCGTGCCAGACAAAACAAACCGCAGCCGCGACGTCCCAACTCCTCATAACTCAAAGGGAGTGAAATTCAGCTAATCCACATTAGCATAATAGTTGTTTTAACAGCCTGTCCACATTCCTGGGCCCTCTGTTGGCCTCAGATGAGACCCTTCTGATTACTCACTGTTGCCTGCCCAAAAGAATGCTGATCTGAACAGAGTCCGTCTCAACACGGATTTATTTCATCAAA